GACTTTGGATAGGTTTGGGGGAGGTATTAGTACTTGTTGGTATGATTGGAGGGATTCCCGAGGGCACAGGTGTATTTCAGATGGATTCCGAACCATATTTGTGTTAGTAGGCAGATCTTGTGTTGGTGCATCGCACCTGCGGAGATGGTGTGAGCAGGTGCAAGGTCGCATCTGCGAGCAGGGGGTTCGCATATGTGAAGAGGAGGGGGCAGTAGTTGCTTTTGTTAAGCTAGATGGCTTCTGCGATGATGGTCCGCAGATATATACATCACATTTGTGAAGGGGTCCCACACCTTCGAGGTTTGGCCAGTTGTGAGAAGGCCGCAGATGCGCAGATTTGGACTGCGCATGCGAGCTCGCAGATTTAGCTTATTTTTTATTATTTAGAGCTTTGGAGCTCGACTAAAGGTAATATTTGAGTAAATTTTCATCACCACTTTGAGGGTAAGTATTTTTTTACTTGGATTTGATTATGTATCTCAATTCCTATATATTTGTGCACTTGGAACATGGATTTGAAAGAGAAAAATTGGGGGTTTAACCTACAACTTAAGAGAGTGAAATTTGGGGATTTGAAGGTGGATTTGGACTTGGTTTTGGAATCTAATTACATATTTGGACTCATGAGGTTATGGATAGTTTTGATCTATCCCTTGACTCGAATTTTGACCATGTGGGCTCCGGTTGACTTTTGTTGACTTTTTGAAATAAAATAAAAAATAAAATTTTATTGTTTGAAATTGATTCCTATAGCTTTATTTGATGTTATTGAGTTTTTTGGCTAGATTCGAGCTGTTCGGAGGCCGATTCATTAGGGAAGACGTTTTTAGAGTATTGGTTTGGCTTGTTTGAGGTAAGTATCTTGCATAGCATTGGTTTGAGCTAGTTTTAGAATGTATACATGTCTCTTTATGCATATCTTCTCTATATGTTATTTTGACCGAAAAGTGAAGGCATGATACATATCTTCTCTATATGTTAACCTTTGCATATTGACTTGATTCTTAATGCACATCTTCTCTATATACGGATGTAGATGATCCTTTGGTGATAAACACATATCTTCTCTATATGCTGAGTTGTTAAACTATTATAAGACTTGCGCACATCTTCTCTATGTGCACCAATTATGTTATACCTGTATTTCATGCTTAGTTTTGGTACCACTGTTGTGTACTTATTGATTTATGAACTGAGTAGGTTGTTATGTGAGTATCTTTGGTAATTCTTGCCACTACTAACTTGCCGAGGTTAGTAATGGTACTTACGGAGTATATGAGGTCGGTTGTACTCATACTACACTCTACACTTAATTGTGTAGATTTAGGAGATGGTTCAAGATGAGTTTTGTGAGCGTAGTTATTCGCTGTGCTTTGGAGACTGGGGTAGAGCTGCTCCCTTATCGCAGCTCCTGGCGTCTCTTCCTATGTTTAGTATTGTTGTTGTTTCAAACAGTATATCTGTATTTCAAACTTGTATTCGTATTGTAGAGCTCATGACTCAATATTACAAGTTTTAGGGAGTTGTATTACGATTTGATATTATCTATGGTTATTTGTCGTTCAGACTTATCTTTTCTGTAATTCGTTATCATGTTCTGTTAATATTTCAAGATTGGCTTGCCTAGCAAGTGGGTTAGGCTTCATCACGATCGATGGTAGTTTTGGGTCGTGACATGGATAAGATATTAAACAGAAAAAAAAAAATAGTGGACAAAGATATTTAGCCGAGTGACGAGCTAGTTAAGTCATATTAGTCATGAAATAATACTAAAAAATAATTATTGTATTGTTTTATCATACAACAGCTAATCACCGACGATATGATTTATTTTAATTTTTTTTTTTTGGATACATTTCATAGAGAAAGAATAATAGTTGAAATTTTGTTAAAACAATTTGATTTAATGTGCTCAAACAAATACAATAATATTTTTGTTATTATTGTCTTTTAATATTAACCATGCATCGTGCAAGTACTAATACTAGTATAGTGTATATAGGTAAAATTTAACCTGCACTGGTTGTTTACACCAGGCCAACAAATATAAGACATATGTTTTGTATATATAGTTTTCAATACTTAATCATAATAAATGATATGCATTTTCAGTTTGATTTGTTTTGTATATGTATTTCTTTGTATTTATTAGCATACGCAGATACTACGAGAAATTACAACAAATATTGCAATAATCATAATTCATCACTTATGGCCTCGTCATATCTTGCAATTCTTTTGGGACATTTTGTTCAAATATTTGTGCTACGTCCTACTACAGTTTGCGTGATTCTAGACAACTCTCAAACGGAAACTTTTTATCATGTGTATCACATAAAATAGTACCCCATTAATTATGTGACAATCCTAACATACCTAAAATAAGACACTTTCACAACAACAAATGTAATATTTAGCTACGAAATTTATAGCTACGACACAACATTTGTCACTAATTGTTAACTTTTTGTGACAAAAATTACATTTTGTGTCTAAATACACGTGTCGCATATTTTTTGTGACGAAACATAAAATATTGTAGCAAAGTTTTGTCCACTAAAGGTTCCCACCAAAAAATGAATTGGCGCCATTTACTGAGAAATATTTAGCTATAAAGATAATGCTATTAGTGACGAAATTTTTTGTCATTGATATTGTATACCATTTGTGACGAAAAATCTTTTGTCTTAATAAATACTTAAATTTAGATACAAAAAAGTTTCGTCACAAAAAACAATTGTTAAAATAGCAACAATTAAAAATTTGTAGCTAAATAGTGCAAACTTTAGCTACAAAATATTGTACTTATTTGTGACCATAATTTTTGTCACAAATAAGGTACATAATTTGTGACGATTATTCTGATGTCCCTATATAATACTTAATTTAGCCACGATGTGGTTTGTCTTATCGTGTCTAGCTACAACTAAAAATTCGTCACAAATCACTCATTTTTTGTGACAAATAGTAGAGTTCATATTTGGATGTACTAATTTAGGGATGATATTCAAATTTTATAACAAACTTTTTCTAATAAGATTTTTCGCCAAAAAAATATTAAACACCATTTACGGAATAATATTTAGCTACAAAAATAAAATTGCTGATCACACATTATTTTATCGTTGACCTTGTGTACGATTTGGGATGAAAATAAAAATATTTGTCTCAAGTTGTTAAAATTACATTCAGAAAAAAGGTTAGTAATCACAAATTGGTTCTTAGATAATGATAATTATAATTTATAGTTAAATTTTGCGATTTTTAGCCATGAAAAATCTTGTACTTATTCCTAGTGACAATTGTTGGTATTATTTATCTAAAAATTTTGGGGGAATGATTGCATTGTTTCACAAAAATATAGAATTTAGTGTAAAAAATTATGTGTCTAATTGGCTATAACTAGAATTTCTAACACTATAAAAGTAGAAACAATATTCAAATATGTCACTGAACTTTGAGAAAGACCCAAATATATTATGTGTCAATAGTTGAGGTCAAATATATACCATGTCATAACATGATTGGTTTAAATATGCCCTTATCCACTAATGACGGAAGTGGTCCAACACGAAATTTTATTTATTTATTTATTTTTTGCAAGGGAAAAGGCTCAAATTTGCCTTTAAACTGGAGTAGAGTGCAAACAGTTTGGCATATAACTATATATAGTCAAAACTCTCTATCATAGTCATACTCTATAACAACATTTCACTATTAACTTTTTCTAATCAATTTATCATGTTATGTTAACCCTCTATAACCACATTCTACCTATAACAATAGGTCATCATTATACAAATACATTTTTTATAAAATTATTTCTTGTTAACAACTCTACTAAAATATTAATTGATTTTGCGTTTCACTGCACGATGCTAGTTCTAGTTAATTTTAGTAAATTTTCCAAAATTACTGCTATTTGATTGAGATAGAAGATTCAATTGTTAAGTTTGTAGACTTCCTTTAGAGAAGATTAACGAATACCCTTTTGCTGAAAGTTGGCAAAAATCTTCGCCACTTGATCAAGCGTTATATTACCAGAAGTGACTGAAATCTACAAATCAAGCTACAATTATATATTTCTTCCATTAAATTCGAATGTTTTAATTTCCAATTAGTTTTTCAATATGTATGTGTTTGAGAGAGTTTAATTCTTTGTAGGTATTGATAAGGATAATCCAAATCCTAACTGATTATTATCATCAACGTGATCCATTTACTTTAAGTTACATTAGCTAGAGTCCTAGTTATAGTCACACTCAAACTTTTGTGAATATCTCTGTTGTGCTTATCTATTTAGATTGAATTCTGAATGTACTATATAAATTGTACATAGCTGAGGCAATAAAAATAATTCTTTTCCTACAGTTATTGAGATTCATTATGGTATCAGAGTATTGAAAAACTCTAACGAGTAGCTTGATCCTGCGAACCTCATTTCCCCCCTTAAATTCACTTCACTTTGCCTTTCTCAAAATCAAACCAGAATCAAAATCAGTTGCAAATCAGCCAACAATAATGGCTCCTTCAAACTCTGAAGCCGTTGTTGTCTCTACTACTTGTGGCAGCAACCCTCCACAACAAACTCAGCTAATCACCATCAATCCTGCCTCGCAATTGCCTCTCAAGCTCACTGGCAGTCACAATTTTTTTAACATGGAAGGCTCAACTTTCTACCCCTCTCATCAGATATGATCTGATGGGATATATTGATGCGCGCAGAGAAGTGTCTGCCACAGTTCCTTACTGCAACAAATGGTTAAAATATACCCAATCCAGCGTACAAAATTTGGACGAGGCAAGATAGCCTTCTCCAAAATGCAATCATGGCTTCTGTAGACTGTACAATAGCACCAGTTATTGCCAATGCTACCATAGCAGCAATTGCTTGGCAGAGCCTTCGCAATACATACACAAACATATCCCAAGCTCAAATTTTTGGCCTGCGGGAATAATTATCCACACTTCAAAGAAATTCCAGATCAATTGCCGACTTTATGGGTGAAATCAAATCTCTAGCAGATGAATTGGTAGTGACAGGCTCCCCTCTTACCAGTGAGGAATTGACAATCAAAGTTCTTAGTGGTCTAGGTCCAGAATACAAGGAAATCTTAGCAGCCATCCGAGCCCGAGACATACCCATCAGCTTTAAAGAACTATATGACAAACTACTTGATCATGAAGTATTCCTTAAACATAAAGATTCCAAAAAGGAACAACTCACTATCACTGCTCAACTTAACCAGAGAAGCTCCTCGAATAATCGACCACGTGGCAACAACTTCAATAGCAACCGCATGCCTTCCTCTACGACCGGACTATTGGGCAACCAACACAAACAACAAAATGGATATCCACCAAAGCAATCCAATAATCAACGGGTACAATGTCAACTCTGTGATAAATTTGGCCATATCGCTAAAGTTTGTCCCTCAAAGTCTCACTCAGCTGCCGAAATGCAAGTCAACTTTGCTGCTCGTAACAACTTACCAAATAATTATTAGGTGATCGACTCGGGTGCTTCTCACCACATGACGAATAATCCACAAAGTCTTACGTATGCATCTAACTTCACTGGGATGTATGAGATCATCATTGGTGACGGTAATGGTATCCCTATTTCACATTTAGGATATACTACTCTCTCAAAATCTAACTCTACTAATCCATCTGTGCTAAATTATGTCTTGTGTGCACCTCACATACAAAAGAATCTAATTTGAGTAGCCAAATTTTGTCAACAAAGTAATGCATCTATTGAATTCTTTTTATATTTTTTTCTTCTGAAGGATTTGAGAATGGGGGCATCACTTCTTCAAGGCCAGAATAACAGGGATCTCTATGAATGGCCATCACCACCTTCCACTCAATTCGCAATTTCAACCAATCGTCCACCATTGCATCTGTGGCATGCTCGCTTTGGTCATCCTTAACGTCGCATCACAAAATTAATTGTCTCGTTATTGAATCCTCCAGTATTTATGTCCAAGTCCTTTACCTTTTGTGATTCTTGCTTATGTAATAAGAGTCATCGGCTTGCATTTGGAATAAATACTTTAAAAAGTGTCCGACCTCTTAATATTCTATATTCAGATGTATGGGGACCTTCTCCTATTTTATCCTTTGATAAGGCTCGTTATTATGTTGTGTTTCTCGATCACTTCACAAAGTACTCTTAGCTTTTCACACTTAAACAAAAATTTTATATTATTGTCATCTTTGATAACTTAAAAAATTAGGTTGAGCGGTACTTTAATACTTCAATTCGTTCTATCTACAGTGATGGTGGTGGAAAATATATTGGTCTATGTTCCTTACTCAATAGACTGGGTATTCAACATTTTACAAGCCCACCTTACACTCCCCAACATGTAGGCACAGCCGAACGAAAGCATCGCCATATCATAGAGATAAAACTTACATTACTGCACCATATGAAACGACCCAACTGGTTGTTTCGAGATCTAGCATATCGTTTGGAAGTTTGAGACCGCGAGTAGCTTCACTTCATATTCTATAACATGTACGTATGATCGAAATTGAATTTCGGGAACTTCGGAGTTAATTTGGAAAGAAAATTCTAAATTCGGAAGCTTTAAGTTAGAAGAATTGACTTTTGAGTAAACAACCTCAGAATCGGAATTTGAAGATTCTAATAGGTTTGTATGATGATTTCGGACTTGGACGTGTATTCAGGTTGAGTATCGGGGGGTCCGGGAGTATTTCGATGCCTATTATGGGAAGTTGGCATCTTGAAAGTTCTAGATTTCATAAGTTTGGCTTAAAGTAGATTTTGATGTTATTGATGTTCGTTTGAGCCTTAGAATAGGCTTGTATCATAATTTGTAACTTGCACGTAAAGTTTGGCGTCATTCTGGGATGTTAAAGTGTAATTCAGACGTGTTCGGCGAAATTTGAAGGTTGGAAAGTTGAAAGAAACAATTTGGCTATCAATTTAAAATTTTGATATTGTTTGACGTGATTCGAGGCTTCGACTAAGTCCGTATCGTATTTTGAAATGTGTTGGTATGTTTAGACGGGGTTCCGGAGGCCTTGGGTGCGAATCAGATTGGAAACGGATCGAGTTTGGACTTTGAGGAACTGTTGAAGCTTAAGGCTTCTGGTACGATCGCACCTGCGAGGTTATGGCCGCAGGTGTGAGACCGCAGAAGCAGCCCAGGGGTCGTAGAAGTGGTAGGAAGTGAGGCTGGTTTGATTCGCAGGTGCGGGGAATTTACCGCACCTGCGGGCTCGCAGATGCGGGCGAAGAAGTGCAGAAGTGGAAGTGGTCTGGGGCTGGATGATCGTAGGTGCGGGTGTTGTAGCGCACCTGCGAAGCCGTAGGTGCAGTCATGGGCACGCAGGTGCGGAGTGGTGCTCGAGCTGGGGAGTCCGCAGATGCGGATGATTTCCGCAGAAGTGGATGCGCACTTGCGATTGAATGTCCGCAGAAGCGGAAAAAGCCGGCACCTTGGGGGAAGCCGCATCTGCGAGGTAGCTTCCGCAGAAGCGGAGCCGCAGAAGCGCAAGGAGTTCCATAGGTATGGAAAAATGACTTGGCAGATTGTTTAAAAATCGGAGTTTTGGTCATTTCACTCATTTCTCTCTTGGTTTGGGCGATTTTTGAAGAATAATGGGTTTTGCACGTGTACCAGCTTTTATACTATTTGATTAACGGGAATTATGATTTTAAAATAATTAAAATGAGTAATTAAGTTGATCGATCACTGTTGGCTTACCTGACGGCGGCGTTAGGCTCCATCACGACCTATAGTGGAATTTGGGTCGTGACACCATGCTTCTGTTCCACTTCATTTTTTGTCCTTGGCATATCAGGCAACCATATACTTGATCAATCGAATACCCACACCCACTCTCAAAAATAAATCTCCCTATGAAGCGTTATTGCACATTGCTCCAAACTACTCAAAACTTCGGGTCTTCGGCTGTTTATGCTATCGGTGGCTCAAGCCATACACAAACCACAAATTAGAAAACAAATCAGATCCATGTATCTTTATGGGGTATGCAAAAGTGTCCATTAGTTACATATGTTACAATCCTAAAAATTAAAAATTTTACTCTTCTCGGCATGTCATTTTGTAGAGTCTGTGTTCCCCTTCAAGAACTACTAGAACACTCTTCCTCGCGTCAATCCCGCTGAACTGGAGTCTTGGCTAATCCATACCACTGAATCTTCTCCAACCACGGGAGAAGTAACAACTCCTTCCACAAGTTTATTCCCTGATGACATACCAACAATTACTGCAAACAGAGTTCCCCATAACTCTTCCTTGGCCAGCAACGAGCCCGTCGTCTTACCATCACAGGTAACTTCTTCACCATTATCTGTTCCACTTCATGTTTATCTTATTCCTACTTCTACAGCCAACGTTACTAGAACTGAAGCTTCTTACTATGGATTTTAATAATGTATTATCTTTTTTAAAAATTTAATTAGTAAAATATGAATATCTTTTGAGATTTTAAATTTAAATATTTTATTATCTTTTATTACATAAAAAGTTTGGGAAAATAACTATTTTATAATTTTTGTATATAATAGTCAAACAAGATCTAAATATAAAATAATATTATAGGTATATAATAATTATTTCGCCAAAGCATATGTAGACAAACAATATCATGATAGAGAGATTTGACTGTAATTAAAAATTTTGGCTCATATATTTTTTTGGTTATTTAGTAAATTTTAAAATATAATAAATTGGCAACAATATATTTTTATTGTTGCCAAAATGTTTTGCATTATTGGTGAAACACTTGACTTTCTCTACAATTAATTACGTATATTCTGGGACGGTTCTACCGTAACAATATATATGTATTAAAAATTTTACTAAAAATTTATAAATATTTGACGGTAAATTTAATTATAATCGTAAATTTACTTAAGGTAGGAACTCATAATCATGTATATTGAAAAAAAAAAAACTTTTTAGTACCTAATTTTTGGCGTAAATTTTTTGTTTCTTTTCAACTTTCCGCCAAAAAGCAAATGCGGCAAAGAGAAAAAATTTCCTCATTTATTTTTCTCACTTTTGCTCTAGGTTTTCTCCTTTCAATTACACAGTTACAATTAAAATCTTGGTTTGGTATCTCTCTTCGTTAAGCATGTTCCCACCTCAAAATCTAGATTACTTCTGGAGGTTGATTTATCTCCTTTTTTGCTACTGTATTTACATTGAAGAACAATTTTAGAAATTCAAACAATCACCTCAGATTCTGTATAATCTTATTTATTTAGGGGTTTTTGTTCTTATTTCTGTGTTTTTGAGCAGATTTTAATCATCCAAAGTCCATCGAAGATATGTACAAAGAAGTTACGCCTACTTTCCACTCCAAGGTTTGTGTTAGGTTTTCTCTTCTTGCTCCGAATCGTTGTCTTTCCATTTAGTAAGTTAGTAATTTTGTGATAACCAACTTGCTCTTGAGAAAATGAGGAATATAGTAAAGTGTCACGATCCAAAATCCAACTAATCGTGATGATACCTAACCCAACCCGCTAGGTAAGCCAATTACCAACTATCCAATTCTAATGAAATTAATAAGGTAATTAATTAAAAGAAAATATATAAAACTAATACATTTTCCCAAGAACTAGTAGTACAAATCATGAGCTTCTAAGAATAGAGTATACAAAGCTGGTATGAAGTAATACATCATCTGTTTGAAAAGTACATAAATAGAGTTTTATGAATCTAAGGCTACCATGAACAAGAGGCAGCTACAACCGGAACGCGGGTACATCTTCAGATCCAGCTCCCAACGAATACAGCAACATCAGCAGCCAACATCTGCACGCAAGGAGTAGAAGTGTAGTATGAGTACAACCGACCCCATGTACTCAATAAGTAACAAACCTAACCTTAGGTTGAAAGTAGTGACGAGCTTGTACCAAGGTCGGGTCCAAACTTCAATAACCAACAATAGTTCATAACAACATAAAATAAGTAATACCAGAAGCAACTCAACAATCAAATGCTCAACAAAAAAAATAATTTCTGAAAATAGTTCTGCCTTTCAAGTACATCAATGAAAACCCAAATCATTTACCGGAGTTGCCAAAAATATGAATAAGTTTGAAAACAATAATTTTTCCAAAATCTTTTCAATAATAAATAAGATGTTTCATTTCCTTTCCAGATAATCAGTGTAAAACAAATGCATCACTATGCCTATCTGTCAACATGTGTGAGAAATCATGAATGATGTGATACTATACAGCGTGAGAAAAATATATCTCTATGCCTGTATGTCATGTGTGCATGTCAATGCAATGTATCTCAGAGATGAACTCATGTACTCACACTCTCAGAGTACTCAATCTCACTCTCTCACACATTTCACTCATCATGCTCAATCACTCGATGCTGTATATGGCCAATCCGGCTCAGGGAAGATCCATCCTGGAATATACACATCAACTGATCATCATTTACTCAGTACTGAGTAGGGCCAATCCAGCCCGTGGAGAATATACATCTCCAGGTATATAATAATTCGGACAAGATCCATGTCCAGGGAAGATCCATCCCTCACTAATATCAACTGCACTCACTGGGTGTGTGTGCAGACTCCGGAGAGGGGCTCCTTCAGCCCAAGCGCTATAAACCGCACAGACAACTCACGTGCTATATAAAACCTATAAGGCCTGCTGCAGGCGGGCAGCCCCGATCCACATAATAATAATATATATAAAGCCAACATGGCATGTTGCAGCGTGCTGCCCGATCCCAAAAATATCCTCACAGTCAGGCCATCGGCCTCTCTCAATCATCAATCTCTCCGGTCTCTCTCTCATAGGCTCATAATGTCATGAAAATAGCCCGAAAATGATGATATAATGTATCAATAAATAACAACAGAGACTGAGATATGATATGCAATGAAATGAATATGGCTGAGTATAAATTTTCAATTTAAAACAAATAATTCATACCAATATGACAACTGTGGGTCCCAATAATACTGGCACATAGCCTCAACATAATTTTTTAATATGATCTCAGCTAAATTTCTTCAATATATAAAACTGCATAGAAAATGCCAAGATTATGTGACTACAAAATTTTACGGAAATAATTACGTCACAATTTTTATGGTGCACGCCCACACGTCCGTCACCTAGCATGTGTGTCACCTTCAAACAATTCACATAATACGTATATTCAGGGTTCATACCCTCAGCTCTAAGATTAAAAGAGTTACTTACCTCGAACAAGACGAATCCAATTCCGAGCAAGCTAAACAATGCTCCAAAAATTTCACTCTGCGCGTATCAACTTCCGAACGGCTCGAATCTAGTCACAACTAATTCGATTCAATCAATTCAAATTATAGGAATTAATTCCATATGAAAATATTAATTTTCCAATAAAATCCGAAATTGCACTCAAAAATCGTCCGTGGGGCCCACGTCTCGGAACCCGAAAAAAGTTATAAAATATGAACGCCTATCTAATCACGAGTCCAACCATATAAATTTTAGCAAATTCCGATATCAACTCGACCCTCAAATCTCCAATTAAAATCTTTGGAGATTTCTATCATTTTCAACCCAATCTTTACCCATTTGAACTCAATAATCTTTCCACAAACCTTATTGGTAAGAGTATAAATGATACTCTTACACCCAAGAATCATACTCTTAATCTCCCATCTTTTACCCCAAAAATCGATATTGAAGAATTGGGGGGAAAAAATTCTTACCTCTTTGAAGCCCTAGCAAAATTTTTGTGAAATTTTTAAACCTTGAACAAGAATTGATGAACAATTGACTAAGTCTTCACTTTCTCTCTCTAAGATGCTCTCACCACTCTCTAAAATATCAGATTTTTGCTCCAAAAGAGCCCCCTTGCCTCAATATATCGAAATAGGGTAGGGTCAAAAATTAAAAAAATTGAAGCTCCGACGCAGATCTGCGATCGCATAACACGTATGCGATCCGCAAACTGACCGCATAATTGAAGCTCCAAAATGAGGGTCACCTAGATAGGTCTGCGGTGATTATGCGGCCCGCATACCTATTCTGCTGTCGCATAATGCATCGCAGAACAGGTCTGCGGTCGCATAATGTACCACAGATTTCCTCAAATCTTGCCTTACATCTGCTTCACTCTGCGGCCATTATGCGGTCCGCAGAATGATTCTGCGATCGCATAATGGACCGCAGAAATGCATTTCTCTGCCATAAATTTTTTCTTTACTCCACAATGCATTTTTCAATCCAAAAAGTCTGAACCGCGGCGAGCTAACTTTTGTACTAATTGATCTACCTCGGCACCACAAAACCTTAATTTTCTTAGCAAAATTCTCCGGTG